GCAGGTGCTGGACAAGCCACTTACCTTGCAGGAGCAGTTGAGTGCACGCACCAGAACCAGCAATGAAAACCACTTCCTCCTCTAGTGCCTCTCTATCGCCCTCTGCTGACAAAGTTTAGCATTGTCACAGCTGTTAAGGAAAAAATATTTAAATGGTCCAGTTCCATTTTCGCAAAGCAAGCCGTGAAGAATGAATTTGGAGCTGAGGGACAATAAATTAGTAGTTGGCACAATAGATTACAGAGTGCTTGGAGTAATTGTGAATGGTGTTGGACCAGGAAGCCAAGGTCAGATGATTGTGAAAGGAGTAAGGGCTTAGGGGATCCTGTAGTCCACTTTCTAGAATGTGTGGAAGAATCTTGGCTCGGAATCCAGCACCTTATGGACTATAGGTATCCAAGTGCTAAATATCTGCTTATGCTTTGAGACTGTGGAGAGAAATCTAAGGAAGAAAACTTGTGGGCTAAATTTGTCATACAGTTGGCTCTATTTTTATTAACTGTCAATTCATATAGAAGCCTCAGTTTCTTAGAACCATGTGTGGCGTAATATGAATATCAGATTGAGCCAAATATAAATAAAATGAGCAATAATTAAAGATTTGCTCCTGCCAAATTTTCAGAGACTCTCACCCTTGCCCAACAATCCTAAACAGATTCCTTTCTTGCAAAATTTTCTCAAAGAGCCAACTGCCTTTCCCTACTAGCATTTATCTTAATTTGTAATTCTGTGTTGTCGTTGTTAGTGCCATCAAGTGGATTCTGATTCCTAGCACCCCTGTGGGACAGAGCAGAACCCTGCCCAGTCTTTCTGCTCCATCCTCTCACCTTCCTGCGCTATGTCAGACGGTATTCCTCTGCTATTCATTGGGTTTTCATGGCCAATTTTTCAGAATTGGGTGGCCAGGTCCTTCTTCCTGGTCTGTCTTAGTCTGGAGGCTCCACTGAAACCTGCCCACCCTGGGTGATCCTGCTGGTATTTGAAATCCCCATGACATAGCTTTCAGCATCACAGCAACATACAGCTGCCACAGTATGACAACCAACGGACAGGTGGTGTGGTTCCCTGACCGAACAATGAACCTGGGCCATGGTAGTGAGGGTGGTGGATCTTAACCACTAGACCAGGGCTGGATAATTATATATTAATGCACAGTATTTGATTAAACCTGTATTCCCTGCTAAACTGTAAGCTTCAAGAGAACAGAGACTATTTTTATTCTGGATATCTTGCATAATTCCTGGCATGTAGGAGGACATCAATAATAAATGTTGCTAAACAAATTATTTTAGATTTTGCTAGGAAGTTCTTGAAAAGATGGACAGATAAGTTCCTATTTTCAGTGCCATTCAGAGACAATGATGTCTTCATTAATCTCATTTAAGTCTGGAGTGCTTCTGATGCCAGCAAGTGGTGCTGGTCAAGGACAGTTACAGTTGTCTTTACAATTACATATCCCGCTTATTCCCCTTCTCATTCTCAGAGCTGCTGTGATTTCTACTCTCAGGGAAGCTTCAGTGCTGCACAGCTCCCGTCCTCCAGCCACAGTTGTTTCACCCTGACGGCTGCTTCAGGGTTCCTCCTTTAATGATTGTTCTCTTCCCAGAAAGCAAATAAATGGGAAAGAGAAAAGGCTTGATTAAGTTCTCAATTTTTTTCATGGTGATTTACTGCTAAAATCTATGCAAAATATATATGCTCACAATTTAGGTAAAGTATATTTGAGTTTAAAAATTTACTGCCAATTGAAAATACATATCTGGTAGGAAAATTAATACCTTGAGCTGTGACTGTCAAAATTCTTTGAACTAATGGGCCTTTACAGGAAGTACATAATTCAGAATAGTTTAAAATATGCAAACAATGCACAAGGAGATTCATATAGCTATAAAATTATTCTAAGCCAGAACAAAATTTCCCTGATCTCTAAAGGGATTTACCTATTAATTTTTAAATTCTGAACATAGTTGACATTTCAAATTGAATCGTTACTGAAATAATCATATAAGATCTCTTGGTTAAATGTTCAAAGTAGAGCCCATGAAATGTGCATGTTACCAAATCAAGGCGAAGGGACTTTCTTCTAAATGCGTGATTTTTATCTGTATAAAATGTTAGATCCCTTTTATTTAGAAATAAAATCCCTTAAGAGTAAGATGCACTTGCTCTTCAAAGAAAATTCTAGGTTGGAACTCAAGGGGTTTATGCAGTGTTTATTCTATAGTTTACTTATTGTGTATCCATTGTTTGCAAGGAAGTGAATTTAAAAACATAAAACTCAGTTTCTGATTTCAAAATAATCAGACTCTGATGGTTAACATTGGGGAAGTACACTATTTCAAGGCAGTGTTACGTATCAGTAATATTTCCCAAGACCAAATTTCTCAAAGTGTGTTATGTTACCTTCGATGTCACGTTAAATAAGTTTACGTGGTACATGTATGAACATTTTATAATTTCATTTCATTCTTAATTTTGTATGCCTGCCTTCCTTCTACTCTATTCAGAGAATGTGATACTAATTGTTTATTTTTTGCTAACCATATAAAGTTTACTTTTTAAATAAATCTAACTTTGTTAAAGCAACTTGTTTTTTTTTAGAATAGTTTTTTTTTATTAAGGTTATGAAAGTTAACATCCTTGTGAAATTACAGTTGTATATCATTATTAGTCATGTTGTAGGTACACCACTTCACCCCTAGTGCCCTCCCCCCACCCCCCTTTCCCCTGGCAACCACCGATCAGATCTCCTTATCAATATACTAACTACCACCTATGAGTGGAGTCACACAGAGTTCGTCTTTCTCTGTCTGGCTTATTTCACTCAACATAATACCCTCAAGGTCTATCCGTGTTGTTGTGAATGGGACGACTTTGTTCTTTTTTATGGCTGAGTAGTATTCCATTGTATATATATACCACATCTTCTTTATCCAATCATCAGTTGCTGGGCACTGAGGTTGGTTCCATGACTTGGCTATTGTGAATAATGATGCGATGAACATAGGGGTGCATGGAACTTTTGGAATTGCTGATTTCAGGTTCTTAGGATAGATACCCAGTTGTGGGATGGCTGGGTCATAAGGTATTTCTATTCCTAACTTTTTGAGGAATCCCCATACTGTTTTCCATAGTGGCTGCACCAGTTTGCATTCCCACCAACAGTGTATGAGGGTTCCCTTTTCTCCACAGCCTCTCTAACATTTGTCATTCTTGGTTTTGGATATTTTTGCCATTCTAACAGGTGTAAGGTGATATCTTAGTGTAGTTTTGATTTCCATTTCCCTGATGATTAGTGATGATGAGCATCTTTTCATGTGTCTATTGGCCATCCATATATCTTCTTTGGAGAAATGTCTGTTCATGTCCCCTGCCCATTTTGTAATTGGGTTGTTTGATTTTTTTATTGTTGAGTTGTGTGAGTTCTTTGTATATTATGGAGATTAACCCTTTGTCAGATAAATAACTTGTGAATATTTTTTCCCAATTAGTGCGCTGTTTTTTTTGTTTCAATCCTGTTTTCCCTTGCCTTGAAGAAGCTCTTTAGTGTGATGAAGTCCCATTTGTTTATTCTTTCTGTTGTTTCCCTCATGTGAGGGGTTATGGTGTCCAAAAAGATTCTTTTGAAGCTGATGTCAAAGAGTGTACTGCTGATATTCTCTTCTACAAGACTTATTGTTTCAGGCCTAATCTTTAGGTCTTTGATCCATTTTGAGTTTATTTTAGTAAATGGTGAAAAAGAATGGTTGATTTTCATTCTTTTACACGTGGCTGTCCAGTTTTCCCAGCACCATTTGTTGAAGAGACTTTCTTTCCTCCATTGTAGGCCCTCAAAGATTAGCTGTCCATAGATGTGTGGTTTTATTTCTGGGCTTTCAATTCTGTTCTATTGATCTGTGCACCTGTTTTTGTACCAGTACCATGCTGTTTTGATTACTGTAGCTTTGTAGTATGTTTTGAAGTCAGGGATTGTGATGCCTCCAGCTTTGTTCTTCTTTCTCAGGATTGCTTTAGCAATTCGGAGTCTTTTGTTGCCCCATATGAATTTTAGGATTCTTTGTTCAATTTCTGTAAAGAATGACATTGGAATTCTGATTGGGATAGTGTTGAATCTGTAGATTGCTTTAGGTAGTATGGACATTTTAACTATGTTTATTCTTCCAATCCATGTGAATGGAATGTCTTTCCATCTCTTTATGTCGTCATCGATTTCTTTCAAGAAGCTCTTGTAGTTTTCGTTGTATAGATCTTTCACTTCCTTGGTTAAATTTATCCGAAGGTATTTTATTCTTTTTGTTGCGATCATGAATGGGATTGAGTTCTTGAGATCTTTTTCTGTTAGTTCATTGTTAGCATATAGAAATGCTACTGATTTATGTATGTTGATTTTATACCCTGCAACTTTGCTGTAGTTGTTGATTGTTTCTAATAGTTTTTCTATGGATTCTTTGGGGTTTTCTATATATAAGATCATGTCATCTGCAAAGAGCGAGAGTTTTACTTCTTCATTGCCTATTTGGATTCCTTTTTTTTTCTTTTTCCTGCCAAATTGCTCTGGCCAAAACCTCCAGTACTATGTTGAGTAAGAGTGGTGAAAGTGGGCACCCTTGTCTTGTTCCTGTTCTGAGAGGGATGGGTTTCAGTTTTTGTCCATTGAGTATGATGTTGGCTGTAAAGTAACTTGTTTTTTAAAAAATATTATGTAAATAATGATATATATGGAACACAGATGTTCACAATCATAAAATGATACTCTAATGATTGATGATTGAGAGATAACTCTCAAAACTCTCATGGTAGGTGTTCAATAAATATATGTTGAATGAATGATTAATGAACGATACTATGTTCTCTTAGAACTTTGTAGTTTTAATAAATAGAATCAAAGAGGGCATACATCTAGTATATTTATTTTTCCACTTAGTTCTTTGTAATTTGTTTCAGAGTGTTTTTACACCTGCCACTACCAATGTAGTATTTGACTGTGCCTCATTTTCCAGGAACATCTATGACATCTCTTCTGCCAACAGGATCTCCTTTACATAACCTACACAGAAGAAAGACTGAAGAAAAACAACATTTACAAAGTAATCCCAAAGGTGCAAATTTTATAATAAAAACTACATGTAGGAATTGCTCAACATATTAATTAGCTGTACTTTTTATATATTTAAATATCAAAAAGCCATTTATGCTGTTGACTTCAGTTATAAAACAGACTATATGTACTGGGATTTCTGGGTTTTAGGAACCTTAGGGAACAGAAAGTTGTCATAAAATATTTCCAGGCGAGTTCTAAGAAGATAGCTTCCAAATGGGATGAGTTTATCTTGATCAGATTCAAGAGAAGTAGGTAGGTTTATCTTATCAAAACAGATGTCCATGGCTACCACCTTTTCCTACATTTTGTGGTAAGCTGCCTTGCTGGGGCCTTCTCAGAACTCCGAATATCCAGTCAGCTATTTAGGGACTGTAGTGATTAAGGACACAGATTACTTACAAGTATGTGTTTGCACTTTTTGTTTTAATGAAGCTAATTCAAAAGCCAAATTTCTACATGTCTGAGCTCTAAATGTGTTCTGAAGTATACCCAAGTCAGTGCAATAGCAGGTGGGACTCATCCAGGGATTAAAAAGAAAAGAATCATCACCAGATAATGCAAATTGATCTGAAAGGGCAGATAGGATATGGAGCAGAGACTTATTAGTTTAGCAGTTTAATAGACCAAGAGGGAAAGTGTGCCTTTATCTTTTGTCTCAGAGCCTCTCAGAATGATATTTAACACTATGCACTTCTCCAGACTGAAGAGTTTTTTGTTCTTCATAGTATACCTTCAATTTTGGAATTATTTTTCTCTTTTTCCTCAGTTACTTTCAGTAAGTAATGGTAAACTTCAAAAGGGTTTATTATTTAGTTTATGCTGCTTACCGGTATCCATCTGACTTAGGCAAAAATCTAATTGGCATACTGGACATCATAAATTTACATCATGTAATCTCTTGAGTATTAAATTTGTTCAAATATTTATTCAGTGTTTGCTGTATACTAGGTTGTGTTGCGTCAGGAATACAAATATGAATAAGACACAATCCATGGACTAAGAAGCTTCAAATTCAGGGGGAGGGCACTAATGTTTTCTATCTTGTACATTTTAATTTCAAAGTAAGAAATATAAAGATTGTAATTAATAAACTATAGCTGGGCATTTGGATCTGATGCTAAAAAGAGAAGTCTTTAAATAAAGTTTGAAGTCAGTAAGATCCATCTGATTGTTGAAGAAATGATGACGACTGAAATTGTCCAGGAAATACATACAGAAGAGAAGCAATGGTGGGAGAGGAAAGAGAGCCAAAGAAAGAATATAAGAACAACCAAGCCAATTGGCATAAGCAAATCAAGAGAGAGCAGTGTGTAGTGGGACATACAGGAGCAGAGGTTTTCAAGAAGCAGAGAGGATTGACCTTCTCAGTTGCTGTGAGAGAGACGGTACCCTGAGGACTGAGAATAAGCCATTGACAACTCCAGCCAATTACATTCATCTTTGAGACACCCATTCTACAGCAAGGGGAACGGGTTAGGAGAGTCAAGAAGGCTGATTTCTCAAATGTGGTGAGAGAGAGAGTGGTGCTAGCTCAATAAGAAGTCACGGTTAAAAGAAAGTTTGCTTAATGGTGGAAAAATTCTACTCAAATATTTTTATGAGTGATGGGTAAAAGCCAATGGAAAAAGAGACATTTAAAACCTGAAAAGAAAAGGACAGAACAAGCTACAGGAGAGGGTTGGAACAGGATCGAGAGTCTAAGCACAGGTGTTCAGTGTGAGAGGAAGCTTGAGCACCTCTTCCTCTGAAACAGGAGGAAACTTTGAAGGTATGGTGTTGTGGGTAACTTTGGAGGTAAGGCAGGGCACTAAAGGAGATCTGTTGGGGCCAGAGAGGAGGACGATGAAACACAGACTTAACAGAAAGGAGCTGAACTTCAGCTGTGAAAGAGAATAGTCAGCCAGCTAGAGATGAATAAATGCCTTTTCCAGAAGCACCTAACGACATGGGTGTGTGCATTCCCACCATTAACAGTTGCCATGTAAAAAGAAATATTCCTTGCCTGAGACTAAAGGAATCAGAATTTTCAGGAGTGTATGTCTGTGACTATATATACATATACATATTTTTACACAGGCATATATGTAGATATATATATATGCACATATACATGCGTATATAATTAAATATATATAATATGCAATGTATATTATTAATATATTATTGATGTGTATTAGAGAGGGGGAGAGAGACGGACAGACAAACAAACAGGCTCATTCTTTTCTAAAATTCTAAGGCAGATATTTCCATGTAGTTATTCTGATGTCATTAAAAGTCAGAAAAAGTGAGCGCTTTACTAGGGTTAGGAGAAATTTACTTCTATAAACTTTGCTACCTTGCTTGGGAAAGGAGTTCTAACCATTTATTAGAAGATAATACATTTAAAGATTTCCCCAAATAGTATCTATTTGGTAGTCTAATGATGGAGTGTGTAACAGCTGTAAGTACATTAAAGTGTTTCTGGCAAAGTAAACATCTATTTTGTATTAAATATGTTAGAAAAATCAAAACCGGGTTTTAAAAAATATGCTTTTTTAATTGCTCATTTTTAGAGATTGAGCATTTTAAAGCAGTTACTCATAGGATGTGCTTTATCGTTATTAAATATTATAATTCAATATATAATTAAATAATAGGACCAGTAAAGAAAAGACAATGTGTAGTAATAATGTATTTTCTCTCTATAAGAAGAATGATGCTGTTTCTTAGGAGTGCGACCTCTCTGTTTCTCCAGCGTCGCTGGCTCTTTCAGGCATTGTGATCCTGCTCTTGCTCTTTTTTCGTCCTGGAAGGCTCTGCCAGGGATGTAGCATGACTGGTTGTGTCGTTCGTGTCTCAGACTGCGTGTCAGCAAAACCTCCCTTGACTGTCTATCTAAAAGCTTCCCTCCCACCCGCTGCTCAGTCTGTTGTGACTCTGGGTTTTCTTTGGAGCTTTATCATTGGTCAAGATTATCTTGTCGTTCATTTGCTTGCCTGTTTGTTTATTGTGTGTATCCCTTGATTACCATGTAATTCTAGGAGGGCAGATACTGAGTGCCTGGAACATAGCACTAAATAAATATTGCTTAATTAATGATGAGAAAATTAAATAACGTGTATTCTGTCTTTTATATTTGGCAATGTCATTGACTAAGCACATTCATAACACACAGCATTTCCGTAAAATGGGACTGCTGTGTCAGGGAAGAGAACTTGGAATTGAGGAAACTGGAGATGGGAGGCCATGGGGGCTACCAACAGGATTACATTCTCTGAACCGGAGGAACTCAGCCTTAATCTCTTGATACATTGGTTTGCCCACATCAGTCGGGAGGTACATTAAAAACAATATAGTGCTGATAATAAGTGATTGAGGTTTAGGAGTAATTTTCTTATGAAATATTGTAGAGCTTACAACATTAGCTCTGTAATGTCATTCACATATTCCTGTGTGGGAGAAGAAGAAATATTACAAAGAATCAATATAGTGTCAGTGACTGTTTCTTAGGGCGTGTTAATAGGGTGATCATTTTTAATTACTATAGTGTTTTTACCCTAAAACTTTTTTAGCAATTGGAAAATAATTTTTATATGTCCTTGAGAATGTTTTGTGCCTGCTAGGAGTATCTTGTGTGTGTGTCAAAGTAGAAAATAGTTTGAGAGCTCCTGCTCAAAGTTATCTTTGTTTGTAGGAAAACAGGTATTCTGAGCAGGCTGCTTAACCTCAGCCCTGATTTCCCTGAGGGGAGAGAAGATGATCAGTGTGTCTTTGTATCCACAGAACTTTATCAGTGATACACTGAAGATGGTCTCAAAATTGTCTGTCAAATAATAGAATTAATTAAGGAAATTGATGTTGTTATAATTTAACTGTTATGGGAAGACTTTATGAGATGTTTGCCATCAATCAATAGAATTAACTTTGGTAGTCTAGACTTTTAAAGGGTGATTACAGTGATTATTTTCCCCAAAGTATCCCATCATTAATTCAGGCATATCCTACTAGAAAGAATGGATTAGATCCACTATTTGTCACTGATTCCAGCAAGATGGGGAGACTGTCCTACGTGGGTGTTGGGTTTGTAATAGCCTAGGTCATTCTTTCCAGACTCCACATAGACATCACTGTTCCCTCTTCACCTCGCTACCGTTCTTGACTCCTACCGTAAAAATAATTGAAGTAAACAGTGTTATTTATAGGGGATTATCTTTTTCCTCTGGCCTTTAGAGACTGTTAAGAGTTGAATTATGCCCCCATAAAGATGGTGAAGTCCTAATCCCCAGTACCTGTGAATGTGGCCTTACGTGTAAGTAGGGTCTTTGCAAATGATCAAGCTAAGATGAGGTTGTTAGAGTGGGCCCTCATCCAATATGCCCTGTGTACTTATACAAAAGAGATTTGGACGTGGCGACAGACATGCATAGACAGAAGACAACGTGAAGACACAGGAAGAACACCATATATAAGCTGAGGAGCTGGGAGGGAGGCATGGAACAGGTTCTCCCTCCAGCCCTTGGAAGGAACCAATCCCGTAGACAGCGTAATCTTGGACTTCTACTCTCCATTACTGTGAGACAATATATGTCTGTTGTTCAAGACACCCAGTTTAAATTATTTAAGCCACCAAAGTTTCCTCAAAATTCATATGTTGAAGCCTAAATCCCCGATGTGATGGTCTTTGGAGGTGGGCCTTTGGGAAGTAATTAGCTTCTGATGGTGGATCCCTCATGAATGGGATTAGTGCCATAATTATAAGAAGAGATAGGGGAGAGATGATCTCTCTCCCTCCATTAAGTGAGGATACAGCAAGAAGGTGGCTGTCGGTAAAGCAAGAAGAGGGCCCTGACCACAACCAGACCACGCTGACACCTTGACCTCAGACTCCAGCTTCCAGAACTGTGAGAAATAGACATTTGTTGTTTCAGCTGACTAGTCTATAATGTTCTGTTAGAGCAGCTGGAACTAAGACAGCATGGCAACCAAGAAAGACACAGTATCCTCTTCTTATTCTGAAAAGAAACTTCAGAGATTTTGCTCCACCATGAATTTTGCTTTAAGAACATTTACACAGCTGATCTTATTGTGTTGGGAAGGTGCTGCTTTACTTTGCACGGGGGGAGATACATCTAATGATTTCTGTTTATATCATGCAATCAGTTAAACTTTTTACTTTTTTTAAATTTAAATTTAATTTAATTTAATTTTTAGATGAGGAAGATTGCACCTGAGCTAACATCTGCGCCAGTCGTCTTCTATTTTATATGTGGGACACTGCCACAGCATGGCTTGATGAGTAGTGTTGTAGGTCCAAGCCTGGGATCCAAACCCACACACCCCGGGGTGCTGAAGTGGAGCGCACCCACTTAACCACTATTCTACTGCACCAGCCCCAGTTAAACTTTTTAAAAGCAACTTTTTAAGATGTTAGTAATGCATCCTCTTTATAAAACAAAATCCAAACAATTCAGAAGGAAGAGTATATTGTAAAACAAAAAGTTTCTCTCCCATCTTCATATGACCCTAAATGTGTCTCACAGAGATAAAAATTGCTAAGATTTTCTTTAACATTCTTTGGAAAATAGTCTCTGCACATCTAAGTGTATATATGAAAGATTATTGCTATTTATAACCCATTTATTATTAAGCATAGTTGCCTCTCCTTTGGTGGAAGTGTAAATTGTTTTAAAATAAAATGTATGCCAGATTCAAAAAACGAAAATCAGTATCTCACTATTGGGTTAATTACATTTATTTGAATCCCATTAAAATTGTGTATTTTTAGCATGTTTATTGAACATTTATATTGTTTCTTTTCTTTTCTTTTTTTTTTTTTTCAGGGAAGGATTCGCCCTGACCTAACGTCTGTTGCCAATCTTTCCTCTTTTTTTTCCCTTCTCCCTAAAGCCCCAAGCTTAGTTGTACATCCGAGTTGTAAGTCCTTCCAGTTCTTCTGTGTGAGCCGCTGCCACAGCATGACAACTGACAAATGGGTGGTGTGGTTCTGCTACTGGGAAACGAACCTGGGCTGCCAAAGTGGAGAGAGTGCTGAACTTTAACCACTAGGCCATCAGGGCTGGCTCTATATTTTTTCTTTTATGAGTTTCCTGTTCATGCCCTTCATTTATCTGCCTATTACTGATTAAAATTTTCTTATTGATATGTGAAAAATATATGCTGTTTCTATGCAAATTGAAGAGTACCATAAATACATACATTTTAAACTTGGATACCTTTCCATATATGTACAATATATCACATGTTGCATTTTATGAAG